ATAGATCACTTGAACAGACCAATCACTAGAAATGAAATAGAATCAGCAATAAAAACCTCCCTACAAACAAAAGTCCAGGACAGATGGCTTCACTGGGGAATTCTACCAAACATACAAAAGGAACTCCTATCGATTCTTCTCAAACTCTTGCAAAAGATTGAAAAGGAGGGAATACTCATCCAAACTCAGTCTATAAAGCCACCATCAATCACCCTGATACCAAAATCAAAGACATTACTAAAAACGTAAAGTACAGGTCAATGTCATTGATGAACACAGATGCAAAAATCCTCAACAAAATATTAGCAGACAGAATCCAACAACACATAAAAAAGATTATATACCATGATCAAGTTTAGTCCATCTCAGGAACAAGGATGGTTCAACATACACAAATCAATCAACATGATACACCACATACACAAAACAAAGGACAAAAATCACATGATCATCTCAATAGATACAGAAAAGCATTTGATAAAATTCAGCACTCATTTATGATAAAAACTCTTACCAAAGTGGGTATAGAGGGAACATATCTCAACATAATAAAAGCTATTTATGACAAACCCACAGCCAGCATAATACTCAACAGTGAAAAACTGAAACCCTTCCCATTTTCAAGGGCATTTCTTAGGTAGAATTCTGTGTGTCACTGAAGCCAAAAAACCACAAGGGAATTTCAACAGCTATTCTTCAGGTTTAAGGTTTCAATTTACACAGTTTATTTGGTTTGTTATTTAAAGGATCCTGCCCTATTCCATTATTGAGTCTGTCTGCCCACACTATAGGCATTCATTGCCATATATTAAGATGAATGTGAATAAATCAGTTATATACTCCGCTGTTTGGTGAAATTTAGATAATGGTAATGTAATCATGGGTAACAGCAGTGCTCTAAGAGTTACTTTATCTAAAAAAGAATAAATATAATGTTTTAGGACATAAATATCCCCATTTGCACAAAAAAATAACTTTCTCTCTTTTTTAAATGGTCTCAATTGCAGATTCATCATATAGCATCATCAACTCAAGTTAAACAGATGTGTACAATTTCCCAAAGAAATGTTGGTAACAATTTTTCAGTTTAACTAAAGAGAATAGTTTAACTAAGAGATATGTAGAAAAATGATTCCATCATTCAACTGAAGAGTAAAGCTAATCAAAACAAAATGGTGCCAATGTAAAGAAGACTGCAATCATGACCAATCACAAAGACTACAATAAGTACAGAATTCTCTCATTCAGCTAGGAATTGAATTCGATTTCTGTGTCTTATTCTATAATTTTTAGTTGTATCCAAGCCTATTTCACCAGTCATCAATCTACATATTTAGAAGCTGTTATGATTTTAACCACAGAAACATCATTCAGTTTCTAAAATAGGGATGTATATATACATTCCTCCTGTTCAAATCATCATTTTTCAAAAAGATATGCTCTTATTTTACTATATTTTTGAATTATAAAAAAATTAAACAACTAAGGCTTTGAATGCATAAAGTAGAAAGTGAAAGCCCATTGTACAAACAGCATGAATATACAGATATAGGTATAGATAACAGATATAAATATATTCATTTCCCCAATACCCTTAGTATACCTAAAATTTGTTAAACATTTCCTTTCTTAACATTTTAATTTTTTTCCATGAAGGTTATAAAACTCCGTGAGTTTAGTAGCTTCATTATGTACATCCATCAAAAGTCAGTTTTACACTGAGTTGTCTCAACTATTATTTTCATATGAAACAACCAAATCAATAAAGCATATTTAAATCTGAAATTCAAACTTGACAATACAATTATCGTATTTCATTCTACTGAGATTAGTCTCACCAGTCATCCACTTTCACCTTCATCTTTGCCAATGTCAAAAAGGAGGATTTAAGAATATACACACACACACAAAATTAACTGCAGTTTCTAGTTATTCCTAAAACCTAGTTCACCATGTATCTATCTCAAAAACATTTTTCAATTCTTTAAATTCCTCTCTCAAACTCTCCTCATCCCCAAAACCAAAGCTACATATCTCCAATAAAACAGGGTCCTATCTTCATAACTAATATAATAGCCCTTAGTTTTCAATATCTAACTGAACATCACCCTTTGCAGAAATCCTTGATGTGGTGATGACCATGATTCAGTGTCCTTAGTAAAAATTTTCAAAAGCAATAATACCATGGTTTTACTTACGAGACGTTTTGGAAGCAAGAAGAGTAACTCGGGAACTTCCTAAGAAGTGAAAACCCATTACATTCACCTGATCATCTTCTGACTGACTAGCAAAGCCTAGTAAGAAAAGAAAAAAAAAAAATCACCTTACATAACCACAAAGCAAACAACATTTGAAATAGAAAACTTAGTTGATAATGAGTATTTTTTACATCTAGTCATGTTTAAAGCATATCTATGAACTATATAATATATTAATTGATTTCCATAGTTGCTTCCAACAGCTAAAATTTCTGCCTCACAATAATGTGCTGAAATCATGTAATTTCCTTTATTCTCCTAGTTCACTTTAGGTCTGAGGCACGAAGTGCACAAGATAAACATAAAACACCTGTCACACCGAAAAGCAAGGAAATTATCAGTGACTAGTAGAGTTGTATGAAAAGGACATAAGAGCGAACCAAAAGAGACTACCACTGGCCAGAGATGAAAATATCTAAGTATTTAAAAAGATAATAATTGCACTGGAGTGAAACACATCAAATATAAGGTCATGTGTTCATACTGACACTAAAAACAAAACAAAAAATCCAAATGCTCACTATTGAAGGGTCCTAGAGAATCAATTCATTATTTTAAAAATCAATAATAAAGACAAAGAATCAAGCACTTATCCTGATGATCTTACTCAGATGGTACCACAAAACCAATAGCAGATAAGGGAAAGGAACTCTATACACAAATATTTCAGCTATAAATTGAAGAAAGCTTATAAGAAATAGAATACCATCAATTTTCAACTTCTAATGAATTAATTGATCTCAGCATTGAATATCAATAGCTGTCACCATCACAAAAAAAGGGATAAAGAGGCATTATGTACTTCCTGATGAACAGATATACCACCATTCATGAAGGAGGGTGGTCAAAATAATCCTGACTATTAGCTCTAGATGCAATTATCGATTTACAGGGAACAAGGTGGACAGAGAAAATATTAAGTAACATTTCAGGATGTAATCAGTAAAATTCAAAGTATGGAAAACTCAGAGGAAAAAAATAATTTGTACTCTTCAAGAAATAAAAGGTAAATTAAAAAGAAATATAAAGGAGAAAAATCTATAAAAGAGGAGACATCAGAAAATTCTTTTGAAATTTCTTAATTTTAAGATTAACCCAGGCTTCTCTCAGAAACATGAGATGCCCTCTCTGTTGATAAAGACCTTGTGTATGACTGTATTCTGTGCAATAATCTAGTAAAATAAAGTGCATATAATAAAAAAAACTCATATCAAAAATTGCAAAAAGTGGAACACATTTAAATCTTGACAAAAACAAATAAAAATTATAACATTCGAGACTTTCACTCTGGGCCAAGATGGAAAAACTGGAGACAAATTTACCCTTCCATCTCAAACAACATAAAAATGGAATAAAATATATGAAACATTTCCTAAGACACCAGATATCAGCAAATGAACAACAGTGATTTCTGACAAACAAGAAATAAAGGAGCCCTATGATTGCTTCAGCTTACTACCTAGAGAAAATTTCCAAGGCACAACACAAGGAGGGGGAGCCCAGAAGCAACCCAGCATTCTTCCTGAGTTGAGGAAATAAGGTTGGGAATCCAAGAAGAACAAAAGTTGGCAGAAGTTCTCAAGGCAGATAAAGGTCAGAGCTACATAAAAAGAACTTCAGAAATCTGCAGAGTCCCCTTTGAGTACTCAGCAGAACACTAATTAGTGCATGCCTGTGAGGAAACCACCTGAGGTTGGGAAAAGAACCAGCAAAAATGGTAACAGGGACTAATCCACAAGCTCATACAGGGCCAGAGATAATCCCTGCTTTCATTGGCCAGAATGTAAACATCATAATTCACTAGGCATCAGGTAGAATACACAGAAGAGGTTGACTTCAGTAGCAGGTAAATTCTGCCCTAGAATAAATGTTGTTCCCATCCTGCCTAACAAAGCTTCAAAGTAACACCAAAAAGGATCAAACTTTTTCAAGTAACTTAACTGTGTCCCAGGGGAACAAAAAAGCTCAAGAATATTAACAGAAAAACTAAAATGCTCAACATACTAGATAAAATTCAGAAGTTCTGTCCTTCAACCAAAAATTACAGGACATTCAAAAATAAAAGAAATTACTATCCACTAACAAGGAGAAAAATCAATCAAAACTAACTCAGAAATAACACAGATGATAAAATTTGTAGGCAAGGGCATTAAAACAATTATTATATTATATTATTATAAATGTTCAAAGGAGCTACATTAAAGAGACATGGAAGATTTTTATTAAAAGAGAGAAACACAAATCAAACTCTGAGAAACTAAAACTACAAAATCTGAGATAAAAAATACACTGAGTGGGATTACGAGCACATTACACACTGCAGAAAAAAATAACATGAATGTATAACAATAGAAACCACCCAAAATAAAGCACAAAGAGAAAAAAGAGTGAAGAAACTAAAATAGAGCATCACTGAGCACTGGAACAACCTCAACTGGCAAATATACATATGATGGTAGTCCTTAAAATAAAGAAGGAAAAAAAGAGTGGAGACACAAAAAAAATTTTGAAAAAATAACAACCAAAATATTTTAAAACTGAATAAAAATTATAAAGCCACAGATCAAAGTATCTTAACAGACACCAAGCACAAGAGAAACAAAAATACAAAACAAACAAATAAAAAAAAAAGAACTATACCAAGGTATACCAAATTACAACTGCTTAAAGAAAAATGTCTTGAAAGCAACCAAAGAAAAATGATACATTACATATAGAGGAATGGCCTTTGTGTTGTCAACCCAACTTCAGAAAACAGTGGAGCAATATCTTTACAATACTGAAAGAAAAACATTGTCAACCTACAACTCTTTATCTACTGAAAGTAACTTTTTAAAAAAGGTGAAAAAAATACCTTTTCAGACAAAGAAGGTTGAAAGAATTCATCATCAGTATATCTGCACCAAAAGAAATGTTAAAGAAGTACTTCAAGAAAAAATAAAATGATACCAGATGAAAATCCAGTTCTATAGAAAGGAATGGAAAGCAGTGAAAAAGTAACTTTGTGAGAAAATATATGAGATTATTGTCTTTATTATTATTATCTCTTTTAAAAGGTAATCACTGTTTAGAGTAAAATTCATAACAATGTATTGCAAAGTTAATAATACATGTAGGTATAAAATATAAGACAATAGCACACAGGCTGGAGGGGAGAGATGGACATATACAATCATATGATTCTTATATTATGTGTGAGGCACTATAGTACCACCTAAAAATAGACTGTGATAAGTTAAACATGTTTATGATATCATGCATTCAAGCATTTTTGACAGGGAAATATTGCTCTTAAGGGTGCAAAAATCAATTCATGGGGCTCAAAAAACTTACTCATTTTATGTATAAAAACAGATATTTATGTAGAATATGAACAGATATGTAGGCTATCCAGGTTATTAAAAATGTCTAGAGGAGTTGATTAAGAAAAAAAAAGTCTAAAATGGCTTTTGGGGGGGAGGAATAATAAAAGAAAGGTTGAAAAACATTGCTACACATTTCAAAGAAACAACTAAATTAACACTAGGTAATATAGGGAATAAAACAACAAAGGAGAAAAAACAGAATCATAAAATACACTCAACATAAAAGAATGTAGAAAAGAAGAAAATGGGGCAAATAAAAAACAAAGAGTAGGTCAGTAGACTTAAAACCAACCGTATCAATAATTACATTGAAAGTAAATGGTCTAAACAACCCCAGTAAAAATAGATACTTTTGGATTGCAATTTTTAAAGAGCCAAGACTCAACTGTACACTACCTATAAGAAATCTACTTGAAATATAAAAAAGTAAACAATTTGAAAGTTAAAAAAGAAGATACTATATATAGAAAACCCTAAAAGCTCCACACAGAAACTACTAGAGCTGATAAAAGAATCTGGCAAGGTAGCAGGATGAAAGGTTAACATACAGAAGTCAGTTGCATTTCTTTACACTAACAATGAAATATCAGGAAAAGAAAGAAAGCAGCAATCCCTTTTAAAATCACATCCAAAACAGTAAAATACTTAGGAATAAATCTGACCAAAGAGGTGAAAGACTTATACATGGAGAACTACAAAATACTAATTAAGGAAATTAAAGATGATTCAAAGACATGGAAAGATATCCCATGCTCTTGGGTTGAAAGAATTAATATTGTTTAAATGGCCATACTGCCAAAGGCAATCTACAGATTTAATGTGATCCCTATCAAATCACCCATGATATTTTTCACAGAACTAGAACAAATCACCCTAAAATTTATATGGACTCACAAAAGATCCAGAATTGCCAAAGCAATGCTGAAGAAAAAACATGAAACTGGAGGAATAACCCCGCCAAAACTTCAGACAATAACTAAAAAGCGACAGTGATCAAAACAGCATGGTATTGTCACAAAAACAGACATATGGATCAATGGAACAGAACAGAGAGCCCAGAAATAAACCCAAAGACCTATGGTCAATTAATCTTCAACAAAAGAGTCAAGAATTACAATGGAGAAAAGACAGTCCCTTCACCAAGTGATGTTGGGAAAACTGGACAGCAGAATATAAATCAATGAAGTTAGAACACTCCCTCACACCATACACAAACATAAACTCAAAATGGCCTAAAGACTTAAATATAAGGCAAGACACCATGAACCTCCTAGAAGAAAACACAGGCAAAACACTCTCTGACATAAATCTTAGCAATGTTCTCTTAGGGCAGTCTACCTAAGCAATAGAAAGAAAAGCAAAAATAAACAGATGGACCTAATTAAACTTATAAGCTTTTGCACAGCAAAGGAAACCATAAGTAAAACAAAATGACAACCTATGCAATGGCAGAAAATATTTGCAAATTATGCAACTGACAAAGGTTTAACTTCCAGAATATATAAACAGCTCACACAACTTAATAACAAAAACAAAGTAAACAACCCAATCCAAAAATGGGCAGATGACCTAAACAAGCAATTCTCCAATGAAGACATACAAACGACCAGTAGGCATGTGAAAAAATGCTCATCATTGCTAATTATTAGAGAAATGCAAATCAAAACTACA